CAGAAGTGTGCCTATAACCCCATACATGCACAGATGCCTCCTCTCCTCTTCCTTGTCTTGCTGTAGCCCTTCTTTCCTGCTTGGGGCTCTGAGATCAGATCAGCTTTGTGAGAAGGGATGTGCGTGATGCCTGGCTGTCCTCATATACTTTCCCTTTCAAGTCCATCAGTGTCTAAATTAAAGTTATTGTCAGTTCACCTAATTTTTAGTGAAAAATGCAGTTTCTGATGAGCACTTGGAAAAAGATAAGCTAATGTGCCTCTTGGCATTCAGTGTAGGAAGAACTGTAGTCTTGGGACCAGTTGAGCGGCCAAGAGTAAGGTGGTAAGCTGGGGTTTCTAGGGGTACCTTGCAAAAACTCTGCTGCTCTTGGTCATGGTTTGATTTGCAAGTGCTCTTTCTCTGGGATGCAAGTAAATTATACCCTAGAAAAGGAGAGGGGCCTCATCTCTCTGTAGAAGGTCAGAGTCCTTCGGCATTTTGCATTTGATGTCATTTTGCTTGCTAAAGTGGCTTGCATAAAAGTCATCCTCAGGATCTTTGTGTTATAAATAAATCTCCCCATGACTGCAGTGCTGACCTCCTGCAGAGCTTTGATTTTTGTCTGTGCACATGGCAAACCTGCATCCACTTGAAAAGGAACCAGAAAGATTTCCACACTAGGAGTTTATGTGGGTGTCCTCATTTGCTCATTTTAAGAGGAGAACTTAATTCTTCTAACCAGAGGAATTAGAACTGCTGCAAGAAAGGAAGGGGAGGTGCCAACAGCCCAGCAGGAACCCATCTATAGTCTGTGGTATAAGGCATAGGTGGAGGTCAGGTGATTGTCTCAGTGGATTAATTTTAGGGAGTTGGATTTGGACACAAATTTCCAAAACCTCTAAACCAAACCAGGAACAAAGTTCCTGCTGCCAAATGCCACAGGGTCAAGCCATTGAACAGTTTATATGTTCATGTCCCCTGCATTGGTTGGCAACCAGTAAAAGCCTCTCCTTCGAAAGAGAAGTTGCTTCTTTGTCTTGGGTGCTCTAAGTCCTTACGTCTGCAACAGAAAGAAATATTGTTTCATGAAAATTTAACCAAGATAGGTAAAATGTAAGTAAATTATGAGGAAGCTGCTTAGCTTCTCATCCTGAGAGATGCTACTTGTAGCATCTCAAAGGACATTTGTTTTTCTTTATAAAGACTTTTAACCAGGTACTACCATTGCAAGGCAGATAGGGGCGGAATCGTGTTTTCGCAGCAGAACTGAAGTGGAATGACCAGAGCTGCTGTTACCTGGCAAACCCGAATGGTTCTTGTGTGCAGGAGCGGTTCTTTCTTCATGGCATGTTTGCATTTTAAGTAAAGGTGGCCTGAAGCAGAAGACATGAGAAGGAAGATGCCTGGGGAAGTAGTTGAGCTGATACTCTGAAATCTTCCTATTTCATTCTTGCAAGTCAAGTGATTTCATGGTTATGTACAAATAGAAAGGAGTGGAGCAGGCCAGTGCTCTTGAGTCTGCTCTCTTTTTAATGAGCAGCAACTCACATGAGTAATTCCCTTAATTTTTAATGTGATTAATTGATGATCATTTGCTGACTGCTGCAAGAAAGTCATAATCCGGACGACAAAGTTTTATAGCAAAACTCTAAAGGAGTTTTGGGCAGAAGCAAGAAGGAGGGTGCTTGGAACAGAAGGCAGGGCTGTGCAGGACTACAGTAGGAAAGATGTCAGCAAATCCAGAGCAGTTTGGACAGACAAAGACTGGAGAGGCAGTTTTGGTGGTGAGTTATTTGTGGACATGCATCTGTTGTGCCAGAAGTGAGAGTGGGATGTGTTTGTTCAGCCTGACTCCAGACATGCTGATGGAATGGATGGAAAGCTCGCTTCCTGGTTTCCATATACCCTCCCTGTTTCCAAACAGATCCTCCACCCTGTGATACAGGGACAGGGTAACAGGTTTCCTTCTGATCACTACACCAGTCATGAATTCGAGGCTCTTCCTCATTGTAAGCAGATGAACTGAGCTCCTCCAGTTTTGCCAAAATGCACTGCCCAGCTGTGTTTTCCTGTCTGCCTGAAGCCAACTATATCCCCAATTCAATTCTTTGGCATTCTGCATCCAAACTTCCCTTCTTTGCCTTTGTACTGGGATGATTTTACTTCAGGTGACAGAATTGCCTTCTGATTTAGTAAATTTTTTCTCTAAGTTAACTGTCACATATCAAAGATATGAGCAACAACTTGTGGAGACTGCCCATTTCTGAATAACCTGGGGCATTGACTGAAAGGTTTTTTCATCAATCATATGTGTATTTGCAGCTATAAAAAGAATAACTTCCTCTAATGGAAAAACATTTGTTACAGACAAAAGAGTTCTCGACTTTCAGATGCTCTGCAGACATCTAATTAAGAGAACTGAAAATCTGTTTATTGGTCTTTGTTAATCATGTGAAGAAAGGGCTTTGCCTACCAGGAGGAGTTTTGGTAGTTCAACCCCTAACTTTCTTCATTCCCAGCTATTCCCTTTGTCTCCTCTTACCAGAGCTGGGCTGAGTGGGGGATGTTAGGCATTGGCTCAGGACATCCCATCATTTTTGGAAGATTTTGGATGTTTCATTCATATCCACTGATGTTTTTTTCTCCTGTATACATCTCTTCCTCATCTTGCACTTTGCATCCTTCTCTGTGGGTGGGAGGATACAGAATCCTGCTTTTCTAGGACTTTAGCTCCAACTTGCACAGGCTTTGAATGGCAGAACTGGGTGCAGCAAGGTGCTGAGGAAGGCTCCCTGCTTCTCCTGCACTTTATTTGAATTTAACATCCTGAAGGATCCATGGCTTCTGGAGTGCTCCAGCCTCCCCCAGCTCCCTGCCATCCAGACCTTTCCAGTGGAGGCAAGAGCTGGGGTGGAAAGTGTAGTCTAGGAAAGTTTAGTCAAATTCTTCCAGATTCAGTTTATTGTATCTGTTTTGCTGATATCCACCCTTTAGATAAATAGCACTAAGTTATACACGTTGTGGTTCTCTTGATGTGGTTAAATAGGCTTGTATTAGCCAAGCTAATCTAACTCCAAGAACAACCCTGGGAATTTGACTGTATCAGTTCCAGCTTCCATCAGTCACAGCGTAGTAAAGTGAGAATTGCCTTCCTGGCTAAAAGTGTAGCAACACTGAAACTTCAAGTCAGTAGGTGGGGATTCTCTCCCTCTCTTTTTCCCCCCCCTTTTCTTTGAAGGAAGCTCCTGCCCATGCCTGACCTCAGACACCCAGAGCTCTACCTACAAGAAAACAAAATTTCCCATTTTCAATAAAAAACTTGTCTCTGTAGGCAGAAAAGTGAGTTAGCTAACAATCCGCAAAGCTATGGTCTATTTATTTACCAGGCTGACTCCCTGATGGGGAAACATGTGGGATCTTTTAAGTTCTTCTCCTGCACAGATGTTCCTTCTACTCCCGAATTTCCTCTTGATCTTTGGTTTGCTGTGCCATATGGTGAAAACGCTGGAGATGATGTGTGCGGTGGAAGACGAGAAGGATTCTGTGTGCTTAAAACAAAACCAGTAAAAAATTAAAAAAAAAAAATTCTGACTGTTTTTTCCCCAAGTTAGCAGAAAAATATTTTTAAAAGGAAATCTGTAGAGTTAGCAAAACCACTGTTAACTTGCACAGGCTCCCTGTTGGACTCTTAGCACTGATGAGATTAAATGCTGATTGACAAGTATCCCCTCCCTTTCCCCAGCTTTTGCTGCCACTTTGAGTATTTGTATTGAGCTGTAGATCCAGTTGAGGTGAGGAGATAGAGGTTCTGCAAGGGCAAGTAACACAACTGCTTGCTTTTCCTTCCTTGCCTTCCTCAGAGATCACAAGAGCTGTGGACTGTGAGTTCAAAGATGTCTCTCCTGGTCTGTTGGAAAGGAGCCCTAGGGCTGGCAGGAGCTTTGGAGTTCCTCCTGCCCAAGGGAGTTAGGGCTTCTGAATAGGGAGGGGACATTGAGCATCATACAGACATCATGCATAGGAAACACAGGGAGAAATGAAACAGAATGTAGACATTTGAGTCTCTGTCTTGGTAGCACCACAAGCTGAATGAGAGCAAAAGGTAGCAGAGGGTGAATGGGAGAGATGAGAGGCTCTGGCAGCTTTCAGGGCTGGACTTGGTCTGTTTTGGGCAAGTCCATGAAGGTGTCACTAGAGCAGGTGTATCTTTCTGTCTGAGGCCTTTTAGCTGATCTTCAGCCTCAATGGCACTTGTCCATTAGGTGAAAGGTTTCTATCATCAATCATATGTGTAGGTGTCACCATACAAGGATAGATCATAGGGCTCCTTTAGGAATGTCTGATCAGCATGCAGTTTTCTTAGGCTAGGAAACCATGTGCTAAAGGGTACTGGGCTGAGAGCACACCCACCTTGAGCCGTGTTGTCAGGCTATTTGTGGGTCTGGTGTTCTGTGGGAAGCTTTGCTCTCTGAGGGCTCTTTGCCTGCTGCCCTCCGTGTAGGGACTGCAGTGGAAGATATTCCCCGAAGCCCCATCTCTGTCTCCTTGGAAGAACAGGAGCTCTTTCTTACTGGACCAGGGCAGTGGGTCTTTCTGGCTCTGCCATAAAAGTAAAGTAGGTGTTTTATTATATATGCTTTAATCTGGTTGCTTGAACAGCATTTTTAGCCAGGAGGGTGGTCAGTCGGATGGACAGGTACAACCCGTTGCTCCACCAGCACAGGCAGGCTGTGTGTTTTGTAGCAAAACCTGGGAGCCTAATTTTAGAATGACAGCAAGGCCAGGCTCAGCTGTCTGCCTGGGCCCTGTCCCAGCTCCTTTGTGCTGCCAGAAACTTGCCCTCCCTTTCTTGGAGTGAACTGTATCATACCTTTTTAAGTACAGGCTCCTCTCCAACAAGACCAAGTAATTCCTGCAGTTACTTTTGTCTTAAACCACACACAAACCAAGAGATTCCTTGGTCCCTATGCAGATGGTCCCTGTTTCCCCCTAAGATATTTGTTGTGCTTCCTTTGCAGATGCAGCTTCTGGACAAGTTCCCTATTGAAGGAGGCCAGAAAGATCCCAAGCAAAGAATCATTCCTTTTCTACCAGGTAATGCTGTGGGGAAAGCCCTAAATAAGATGACTGAGAGCAGCTGGAGACTGCAGCTCCCCGGCTGCTGTCTTCAGTACTTTTTGTGACCATTCTTATAAATGCCTTTTCTCCCTGGGAGCTCATACACCCAGCCTTGTGATACCAGACCTGTACCTCCTCCTAAAATAGCTGGCATGGTGTTTAGGGCTCTCAGGGGATCTTGCATCAGCTGTTCAGATTCAGGCTGGCTCATGCCCTGTTATACAAAGGGATTTGATGTGTCTTTGGAGTGCAACCAGGCAGACTGAGCTCCAGCCACCATTTGGGATACCACTGGGGGCCAGAGGCAGTCTTTGTAATTTCTGGATGCTGTGGCTCTTCAGACACTGTTACTGTACAATAAGGAATTAATAACTGGAGTTGCCCCTGTGATAGAAAGGAAACTGAAGGAAGGTTCAATGCAAACAGAGATTTCTGCAATGCTAGCTAAGAAGATATTTTCTTATCTTTTTAGCCTGAGCCACTGTCCCTCTGACACCTCTTGTAGAGGGCATGAACATGATGGATATCCTGTCCTCAGGGTAACAGCACACACTTCCACATAGCTTCTTCCAGCAGCAGCTGCAGGGGTGGCATGGGGGACATGAGCCAGACCACAGTGTGCTCTTGGAAGTGCAGGCTCTGGGCAGCTCCCTATTGTCTGACTGCACGATTCTGGCTCTTGGCTTTAAGTTTGGCTTGCTGCACTGCCTGCCAGGATAAATGGAGTATTTTCAGCCTGGTAAAAGGTCTGTTCTCTCTCTCGCTATGAAAAGGAGATCCCAGCTCTTCCCATGAGGTCTGTGAAGAGAAGCTGGGACGGGAGGGCTTAGTCCTCTCCAGGAGCATGCTGTGGTCCCTAATGCTATTTGCAAGCAAAGCAGCTGCTCCAGATGTGTGGTGAGCACAGCTCCAAGGTTACTGGGGAGTAGGAACTTAAAAACCAGCAGCACAAATACACGACACAAGCATCAGAGCCACAGCAGGGCAGCACAGCTGCCTGGCAGTGTCTTAGCAGCCTCCATAGTCCTGGTGGAAGGTGGTCCCAGCTCGAGGTTTGCTCCCTGCAGTTTTCTGTGCTCCATCCAGACTCTGTAGCCAGAGGAAGGTGGTGTTGCCATCCATTTCCTATCTGGGATGAGAAGTCTAAGAGTGGACTCTCTTTTTAGCTGTACCACCAACAAACTCATAGCCAAATCACTTTATGAAACCTCTTTATGATAAGAATGGATACTGCTGGCTTGCTTTTCTTTCTGGAAAGCATTTTGAGGTCCTTGAAGGCACTGTACAGGAGTGCAGATGGCTTCACATGAGGTACTGTAGGAAAACCCTGTCTGCAGGTAGCATTTGTTCCTCCTGTATTGACTGTCACTGGCATATCTATTTTATTTTCTCCTAGAAAAATGTTGACTAACTGCAGGTGGCTGCTCCTCAGCCTTTGTGCAGATCTTAGTGATTGGGTGTCCTGATATATGGGTGTGTGATATTTGCAGAGAGTGAGATAAACCCCCATATGCCCATTACAACACTTCCTACCCTTCCCACCCTCCAGGAACATGAGGGAGATGGTAGTGCCACATGTCCTGGAGGGGAAGAGTTATATCTGGAAAACATTTGGGTTGACTTAGTGTCCCAAAGAGAGAAGCTGCCAGAACAGAATAGACCTCAGCTGTATTTAATTTAAAATCTCTGTGATATATGTTCTACTTTTGATATTGAATCTCTGCCTCTTTCTTGTTGAACTGCTGAACAGCCCTTGTTGCTTTACCCAGGAACAAGGTGACTCAGCTAAATGTCAAACAATGTCAAACTCTGTTAAATAAACTAGCTGCCAAAATTAGAATACGCATGGCATTTCTGCAGCTGGAGCAGTGGATTACGGAAACGAATATCTAGCTATAAACTCCCTTAATTAAAAAATGGCAAGGCAGATGTTTGTACTTAAATCCTACTTTATGAAGATGTTATGGTCCTGCTTGCTTACTGTGGGCCTGATTCAGCCAAGCTGGAGTGGCTCTACATGCTCATGCTGTGTTCTGGGTGCCTGGGGTTTGCTGTGCCACTTGCAGGGTAGGACGAATCCCCCCATCAGCTCTAGCTTAGGAAGTTGGCATATTCCATCCTGCAGCTCCTGTTTGGTGGTGCTCTCCTGAAATAATAATTAGTGCTTGGCTGTGTTGGAAAACTTTTACCTGTGAAACCAAGGAAAATGTAATGGGGTTCATAGCATTGCCCCACAAGGAGAGACCATACTGGGTTCAGCAGGAAAGTGCAGTTCTTCTTTCCTCCAGACACCTTTATCTTATTTTCATCAATTTCTTTCTTCAAATATATTTATCCTCACTTCTCTCTTACACAAATAAGGACCCTACAGCTTTCAGTGCCATGAAGAGGTGCAAGGAAGTTATAAATAGTGCCAGGTAGTCCTGTAGAAAATGTACCATGGATAATTTTGTAGTTTTGTTTTACTTTTTGAGAGTGACTTCCTTGCCTTTAATTTTTTTGTGATTATTTTTTTTAACCATACTGAGAGGGCAAAAGCGATATTTTCATCTCCTCTCCTCATTTTATCTTCTTCCTGTGAGTTTTTTCCATTCTTCTCTCTGATTTCCCTTTTTAATGTTTTTTAATGAAAATCCTGCATCAGGAGGGGTTGTGCAGAAGAAAACTGCATAAGAAACTCTGTGGATTGGCCAGAGAGCATTTTTGTAGCTGGTGGTATTAATTTTTTTCTTCGGAGGGAGACTGTGGAAGAGTCAGAATTAAATTTGCTGAGAACCAGTCTCTAGAGCAAAGCCAGTTTGTTGCTCTAAGAAGACATGGATACAAAGTGCTGTCTGAATGTACCAGTGTGGCTGTTGGTTGAGCCCATTTGCAATACACTGATTTCTCCATCACCTCTCCTGCATATCTGAAGAATGAATGATCTGTGGAGTGTAGATGAGTATTTTTGCTTCTTCCCTGTCAGGTACTTTTACATCTGTGTCAGCAGAGAAAGGGAGTTATGGATTTGGGCTCCCTTTTTCAGGGATCTTGAGGTAATTAATGAAGGAATTTCAGCTGGAAGGAGAAGACTCATCTGCTGAGCTTCTGGAGACCACAGTGGCAAATGAAATGGCAGAGACAGGGCAATGCAACTCTGGGATTAACAGTTTTGCAGTGGTCGACTCAAGACTCCAGGGCTTGCATTGTTTTTCATTTCTCTTGGCACTAAGTAGGAGAGCCATCTGGAGACAAAGCTGGAGGGATGTCAGCTCTTCTTGCTCCACTTCCAAAGTGCAGCCCTGGGGAAAACACACTGCATGGCATGAAATCATTGTGTCGTGCTGCTGGGCTGCATATCCCTGCCTTGGAGAGAGGCTTGGGCTTGCCATGGCATGGAGGGCTGGCCACTGATGATGGCAGCCCCTTGCACTCCCCACACAGATTCCAGCTTGATCCCTGCCAGATTCCAAACCACTTTTGACCCCCACTGAAGAAACAGGAGGTTTTTGCATAGGATGTGCCAGAAGGGGAAGATCCTCAGCGGGTGTCTGCTCTGCAACTTCCATGCTGCCTGGAGAGGGAGACATCCTGTTTAAGGAGACTGCTTTGTGTGCCTGGTTTTCCTAACTCTTGGGAAGCTGAGTCCTATCCCAGGGGAGCAGGACGATCAGGGCAGGCTGCCCTACCAGCTTGGTCAGGCAGCTGGAGGAACAAAACCCCAGCCCAGCTCCAGTCCCTGCCTCCAGTGCTTGGAGCCTCTACCAGAGAGGCACCTTCTCTCTTCCTTTTTTTCCCCACTCAGGTTTTCCTCCTCCCTTGACTCGGGCAAGGAAAGAGGAAATTATCCATTTTGGGGTGTGTGCTGCCAGTGTAGCTTGGTGGCTGTGTCCCAGGGCACTGGGAGGGATGCCAGCATGGGGGATGAGATGTCACCCAGCTGCTGTCACCTGGCTGTGCCCCGCTGACCTGCTTTGCCCCTGAGCAGAGAAATGCTCCGACACCTCAGAGGATTTTCTCCTTCGAGGGTAGGGAGCACACTCTGCCTGCTGAGGCGTTTTAAGGACAGGCAGCAAACTCAGGGTGGCACAGATCCCTGCTGGTGTTGGAGTTAGTAAGTCGGGAGTCTCTCTGAATTTTTCAGAGAGAAATCAAAGTGCAGGGATTGAATTAAAACTTTGGATGGACTGAAGTATGGTAAGCCACTCACACATAAAATAGAGGTGTAAGTTTAAGTTTTAGAATAAACAAGCAAGTAAGTAAGTAAGTAAAACTAGTTTTCAGTGCTTTCAGTGAGTAAAAGGTCTCAGATGCCAGAGTCGAAGTGTGAGTTCTAGTGAAGGTTGAAAAACATAGTCCCACATAGTAGTGTTTCCGTGGAGGCTCCAGGTGTCTCGCAGCCCGGGCTGTGCTGGAGGCTGTTCCTGCAGCCAAGGGGAGCCAGGCAGAGCCAGGTGTGAGTCAGGAGGGCTGCGGGAAGGGAGAGGCTGCCTCGGAAGGCTCGGGCGCTGTCCCAGCACCGCCCAGACAGCCGGGGGTGCCGCGGAGCCTCCCCGGTTTGCACAATGCAGGAGGATGGGGAATAGCCTCTCGCCAATGCCGGCCGGGACCTTCCTCACCTGCGCTTCTGCCGCTGCCGGGCTGCAGTGGGGAAGGAGATCTGCCGATGAACTGCATCCCAGGTGCCAATGGCTGCTTTCGGGTGTCGGTCTGAGGTGTTGGGCTTGGCTTTTTCCCTTCCCCTTTCCAGTGCTGTCTTTTGGGTAAGATAAGCTGAGGAAAAGGGCTTCAGTAGGTTTGCAACAGCGGAATTTTGTTCACGGTGATGAGAGCAGGGTTTGGTGGTTTTTTTGTTGGTTTTTTTTCCCCTCTCACCTTTGTATATCCCAGCTTTTCACCTTTTGTTTTGCTCCGGGCTGGAGGAGAGGCAGTGTTTTTAGTTCAGAGATCATGTGCTGGAGCAGAGGTGTTGGGTTCATCCTCACACAGCCAGCACT